GGGCTGAAGATATTGTTGGATTTCAGTTGAGTACACTCAAGGGCAAATCACATTATATGAAAAACATTATGTAAGATCGTAGGCTGAAAAAGCAATTATTGAGAAATGACAGGAAATCGAACTAAAATGAAAATTTAATTGGCTACTACAAAACTTAAATTTAAGGTGAAATATACTGTATGCAATACGTAAGAGAGCCAGTAATTAATATCCTTCATAAGAAAAAACAAGCATTCATAAAAACTCTAAGAGAGAGAGAGAGAGAAAGAGAGAAGTTTCACCTCGTTGTACGGTTACGGAGTGGTAGAAAATGTAAGGTAACGTAGCAAATGTTTATCATTCATGCATCTTTCAATACTCATGCCACGATAAAACTACATAAAGAGTACAATTTATAAAGTACACAAAAATCTGAACATCTGAAAAAGATAATAATAAAGACTAACATTTTGTTTAATAACTAATCAAATCAGATCTATTCCAATCGTGAGGCAGTATATAGTGCCAAAATCAGGTAGGTTTTGTGTCACAGACGAAAGTAAGGACCAACCTTGTCAGCAGTTGAGTAAATATTTCGATTTAGAACATTCACCACATGTATATGCTTATCAGTTAAGCCACTATGAAAGCAACCATGGCTAAAAAGGCAGCCAAATAGGCTAGGCCAAAGGAATTTGATTAACAAAAAGTCAAGACCTGCTTGGTTTTTGCCCGGAGCCAAATGTCTGAAGATGATGGTAAGACTTAGGCGTGGTCCAAACTTAACTGCATTTAGTAAAAATGGAGGCCTTTTTGGAATGCGCAAGGTATTTCTTTATGAAACCTGGATTCATCTTCCTCCTATCATGTACATAATTGCAATCAGTCACCTTAATACAATAAGAAAATAATACTCCGTGGCAATATTGAAAATTTATAAGTAATAGCCTGAGTTTGAGTAATAATGGGCTACAAAATCAGCTCTCTTCATTGTTATATCTTTGATGATGAAATGTCTACATAATTAAGTTTATTAGACCTCAATTATCATATAGAATATTAGTGATGATATTACTTACGAGATCTCTTGGCATTGGAGATTGGCCATCAGTTCTGTAGAAGGAGGCTAAAGTCTGGCATGAGGTCTTCATATATTCATCCATTGAAAATCTGGAATAAACAAATTTGGTATGAATACCAAGGTGGCATATGCTTTATTTTAGTTTCAGCCTAGCTTAGTTTTATATAAATATTCCAACTTAATTATCGAAAATTGCCTGTGTTGTCAGCAGGTTTAATACGATGAATCTCACACTTAAAAAGTGAAGATAAATTCAATAATCTGTCCATGCTATTAAGCGGATCCGTGGAGGATGTTAATCTGGAAGCCAGACAATTTGCACATATTGGCATTATCTATTCCTATAACCTCCTTAAGTTTGTACAAATCTTAGGCAGTGATAATCTTACACAGATCCCGCTTGGGATTATACCTGATTTGAATAAACTAGAATATCCTATTTACATTGATCAGAGTCTGCCATATTGTTACGCAGTCCTCCTTCCCTAGGTCTTATCGCAGTCACTCTCTTGCCCCGTAAGATCCGTCTGCTCTCTCCCTGGTTCACGTATTTCACTCGACCACTACCACCCCATCTCTGCTGCTCGAGGCGTTATTCGCCCTTCTCTGCGTCT